CACACAAACAACACACACACAACACACACACACACACACACACACACACACACACACAACATTTAAAAGCGTCAACACAGAATTCATCCCAAGTTAATTATGTTTTTTCTCTGACTTCAAACTAAATAATACACGAGGGAGCAATAATACGATAAATCCTTGTTTGGTGTTTTTTTTCTTACTGATGTGTGTGTGTGTGGTGTGTTGTGTGTGTGTGTGTGTGTATGAGTTCGTCTATTATATGTCTGTGTTATCATACACAGCCTAGTACAGACATATACAGCCTGGTACATACACAGCCTAGTACAGACATACACAGCCTGGTACATACACAGCCTAGTACAGACATACACAGCCTGGACCACACAGCCTAGTCAACATATACAGCCTGGTACATACACAGCCTAGTACAACTACACAGCCTAGTACAGACATACACAGCCTGGTACCTACACAGCCTAGTACAAACATACACAGCCTGGTACATACACAGCCTAGTACAGACATACACAGCCTGGTACCTACACAGCCTAGTACAAACATACACAGCCTGGTACATACACAGCCTAGTACAGACATACACAGCCTGGTACATACACAGCCTAGTACAACATACACAGCCTGGTACATACACAGCCTGGTACAGACATACACAGCCTGGTACATACACAGCCTAGTACAGACATAATGGTACACACAGCCTGGACAACAAGACACAGCCTAGAAGACATACACAGCCTGGTACAAACATACACAGCCTGGTACATACACAGCCTAGTACAGACACGGAGGCAAAGTTAGGCATGTGACTGACGCTCTTAACTTTACAGCTGTGCCTGAAATGTGAGGCGGGGGAGGAGGGAGGGAGGGTAAGACGGAGGAGGGAGGGGTAAGACGGAGGGAGGAGGTAAGACGGAGGGAGGGAGGGGGTAAAACGGAGGGAGGGAGGAAGACGGAGGGAGGGAGGGGAAGACGGAGGGAGGGAGGGGGAAGAAGGAAGGAGGGAGGGAGGAGGAGACGGAGGGAAGTGAGAGAAATGAGGAGGAGGGAGAGAGCGATAAGGGGGGAGAAAAGGGAGAGAGAAAGGGAAGAACAGAGATGGGAGAAAGGGAAGGAGACGACAGGAGGTTAGATTTGGGGAGAAGTGAATGAAAGTTTGCGAGACATGGGGAGTGGGGTGAGGAGAAGGGAGGTTAATTGGAGGAATAAGCGAGGAAAGAGGGAGAGGAGGGAGGAAAGAGGGGAGAAGGGAAGAAAGAGGGAAAGGGCGTATAGATGGGCCATCTTGTTGTACTCAAGGTTAGGTCATCGTACTCAAGGGTTGTCAACGTACTCAAGGTTAAATCTCGTATCAGGGGTTAAATCCTCGTACTCAAGGGGTTAAGTCAACGTACCTGGGGTTAAGTCAACGTACTCAAGGGGTTAAGTCAACGTACTCAAGGGGTTAAATCCTCGTACTCAAGGGATTAAATCCTCGTACTCAAGGGGTTAAGTCAACGTACTCAAGGGATTAATTCCTGCTACACACCTGGAATATTAACGGGTCACTACAGAGGCCCTTCAGTAGTCAGGTCACGTGCTGCTGACCTGGCTGGCTGGGGTCAATGATATAAGGTTAATGTTAGGGAGGTTATGTGGGTAGGTCAGGTCAGGTCAATTTGTGATGTCCTTGCTAAAACTCCTACACATACATACATACATACATCATTTGCAGTTATACATATACAGGAAGATAGAAAACACACACACACACACACACACACACACACACACACACACACACACACACACAAACTTTTCTTTATTAAAAACCTCACACAAGTTATTTCAGAATCTCAAACACAGACAGACAAAGAGACAGACAGACAGACAGACAGTAAAAGTTACCCTCCTACATCCTGCTGGGACGACTAGCCTTAAGCCCTGTCTACTCTCTGTCTATTTATACACATTGCCTTGAGCGTAAAATGTTGGCAAAACTATTCAGGCGTAAATGTTGGTCTTGGTTCCTCACAAGAAGAAAAAGAGAGAGAGAGAGAGAGAGAGAGAGAGAGACCCATCAAAGGTTTGTAAGAGAAAAGTACACAACTTAAAATACTTCTTTCTGTGTGTGTGTGTGTGTGTGTGTGTGTGTGTGTGTGTAAATGTGAATTATTGAAATGTCTGTGTGCTCACAAGCAAGGAAGACACCAAGCAAGGAAGACACCTCACAAGCAAGGGAGACACCTCACAAACAAGGGCAGATACCATGAAAGGGCGAGACACTCAAACAAGGAGAGTGTCCGTGATGAACGCGATAGTGCAGGCGACCAGGTGAAGAGAGAGAGAGAGAGAGAGAGAGAGAGAGAGAGAGAGAGAGAGAGTAATCCTAACCTTATATAAATAATAATACTAACACATCGACAAATTCTTAGTAATAAAATAAATAACAAGATAAAATAATGTTAAGATACAAAAAATAATAAAAACAGAAGCAAAACAAAAATAATGAAAATAAGGATTCGCTAAAAATATTAAATAAACGAAGTAAACAAAAAAATTAAGGAGAGAAAAAAAATTACAAAAATATTAAGAAAAATAAAAGAAATACGATTCAGTTTCACACATAAATTAAAAACAAGATAAAAAAATACATAAAAATTATCTAAAAAAAAAAATTAATAAAGCCATAAATAAAGAATAAATTAAAAATAAACCATATGAGAAACAACTAAGGAATAAATATTTATATAAAACTGAATCACAAGAAAGAGGGGAGGGGAGGGAGTCGCGAGGGTCTATAGTAGTGGCTGACGGCGGCTGATAAACACGATACTTTGTGGTGGTAGTGTTATGGGGTAGTGACGGTGTTAAGGGTAGTGACGGTGTTAAGGAGAAAGACGGTGTTAGTAGTGATGGTGTGGTAGTGACGGTGTTAGGTATGACGGTGTTAGGGTAGACGGTGTTAAGGGTAGTGACGGTGTTAAGGGTAGTGACGGTGTTAAGGGTAGTGACGGTGTTAAGGGTAGTGACGGTGTTAAGGGTAGTGACGGTGTTAAGGGTAGTGACGGTGTTAAGGGTAGTGACGGTGTTAAGGGTAGTGAAGGTGTTAAGGGTAGTGAAGGTGTATGGAGGTGATCAACCTTATCACACGCCCTTCCTCTCTCACGAGCCCTTGAAGATTACCTGCCCGTTTATATTAAATGTGGTAATGAGTATGACTTATTAGCTAAAAAAAATATATAAATAAAATAAGGTTTCTCATCCTTCTATATTCCTCCTCCTCCTTTCTTCTTCTCCTTCTTTTCTCCTTCTGTCCTCTCCTTTCTCTCCTTCCTCCTTCTGTCCTCTTCCTCCTCCTTCTGTCCTTTTTCCTTCTTCCTCCTCCTACTACTCCTCTTCCTCTTTCTGTTCTCTTTCTCTCGTTCTTCCTCCTCCTCCTCCCTCTTCCTGACCCTTTTCCTATAGCCCCCTCCCTCCCCCCCTCCTTTCAGCACTCAGGGAAGATCTTTCTCTCAGGGATGAGAGAGAGAGAGAGAGAGAGAGAGAGAGAGAGAGAGAGAGAGGGAGGGGGTTCACCTCTCGCTCCACAACACCTCAATATTGCCTTGTCAGTCTCAGCACACACATACTGTACACACACACACACACACACACACACACACACACACACACACACACACACACACACACACACAAGAAAGATGCTGACAGACAAAATGGCGGCCAAAGATCACAGAGACTATGGTTAGAGGAGGAGGAGGAAGAAGAAGAAGAAGAAGAAGAAGAACAAGAAGAAGAAGAAGAAGAACAACAACAACAACAACAACAACAACAACAAGAACAACAACAAGAACAGGAAGAACAAGAAGAACGAACAAGAACAACAAGAAGAAGTCACTAATGCCCCTGTCAATCTGGATGACACAACCACAACTCAGGTCTCGGACACGTTAAAGAAATGTGTACTGTGTCACACCTGAGGGCCACACCCGGCGGACACACCTGGGGCCACACACTATCATACCTGAGGGCCACACACTATCACACCTGGGGCCACACTATCATACCTGGGGCCACCATCACACCTGGAGGCCACACACCATCACACCTGGAGGCCACACAACACTACAACACCATCCTGATCACAAACCTTCCTTCACCATAACAACAACCTCTCTCTCTCTCTCTCACATTCCCTCCTAACTTTTGCTCACATATTCATCCACCATCTCTTAGTTAGCCTCTGTTGTCTCCTCTCAATTTTCTGCTAACTTCTGCCTGCAACTTGCAACCTCTGTCTTCTCTCTCTCTCTCTCTCTCTCTCTCTCTCTCTCTCTCACATTCCTCCTAACTTTTGCCTCACATATTCATCCACCATCTCTTAGTTAGCCTCTGTTGTCTCCTCTCAATTTTCTGCTAACTTGCCTGCAACTTATGCAACTCTCTCTCTCTTTCCTGTTCATTAGTCGTTTGTTTTCTCAACCAACATTCCAAGTCTTTGTTCAACACCAGCACCACGATTCCTCCCTCCTTCTCCCTTCTTTCACCTTCCTCCTTCCTCCTTCTCTCCCTTCTTTCACCTTCCTCCTTCCTCCTTCTCTCTCTTCACCTTCCTCCTTCCTCCTTCCCTCCCTTCACCTCCTTCCTCATCATCTCTCACTTGTCACGTTCATCAGGTATTCGTCATTTCCCTCGTTTAAGGTAATGACTGAACGAGGACCCCACAACACAGAGAGAGAGAGAGAGAGAGAGAGAGAGGGAGAGAGAAAAAAAAAAAAAAGAGAGAGAGAGAGAATTATCTACTCCTGACAACAATCACCAGAAATAAATATACCGTCAACTGGTGATGACAACCATGTCGTCAGCATCTATGGTGTCAGACAAACACACCTGGTAAGTTATTGCTGACACTACTGCTGACGACGGTGTTGGGGGCTGACTCTGGGCTGATAATGGTAGAATTGTCTCTTGGGAGTAACCAAGAGTAAGGAGGAGTGTCTCTCTCTCTCTCTTTATTCATGTCCATCCCAAACTCCTACCTGGCTGTCCCTCAAAGCCGCCCATCTACCTGGCTGTCCCTCAAAGCCGTCACTCCTACCTGGCTGTCCCTCAAAGCCGTCACTCCTACCTGGCTGTCCCTCAAAGCCGTCACCCTACCTGGCTGTCCCTGCCGTCACTCCTACCTGGCTGTCCTCAAAGCCATCACTCCTACCTGGCTGTCCTCAAAGCCGTCACTCCTACCTGGCTGTCCCTCAGCCATCACCCTACCTGGTCCCTCAAGCCTCACCCACCTGGCTGTCCCGCCGTCCCTACCTGGTCCTCAAAGCCGTCACTCCTACCTGGCTGTCCTCAAAGCCGTCACCCTACCTGGCTGTCCCTCAGCCATCACTCCTACCTGGCTGTCCTCAAAGCCATCACTCCAACCTGGCTGTCCCTCAAAGCCGTCACTCCCTACCTGGCTGTCCCTCAAAGCCATCACTCCTACCTGGCTGTCCCTCAAAGCCGTCACTCTACCTGGCTGTCCCTCAAAGCCACACTCCTACCTGGCTGTCCCTCAAAGCCGTCACTCCTACCTGGCTGTCCCTCAAAGCCATCACTCCTACCTGGCTGTCCCTCAAAGCCATCACCCTACCTGGCTGTCCCTCAAAGCCATCACTCCTACCTGGCTGTCCCTCAAAGCCATCACTCCTACCTGGCTGTCCCTCAAAGCCATCACCCTACCTGGCTGTCCCTCAAAGCCATCACTCCTACCTGGCTGTCCAAAGCCGTCACTCCTACCTGGCTGTCCTCAGCCGTCACTCCTACCTGGCTGTCCCTCAAAGCCGTCATCTCCTACCTGGCTGTCCTCAAAGCCATCACCCTACCTGCTGTCCCTCAAAGCCATCATCCTACCTGGCTGTCCTCAAAGCCATCACTCCACCTGGCTGTCCCTCAAAGCCGTCACTCCTACCTGGCTGTCCCTCAAAGCCGTCACTCCTACCTGGCTGTCCCTCAAAGCCATCACCCTACCTGGCTGTCCCTCAAAGCCACTCACTCCTACCTGGCTGTCCCTCAAAGCCGTCACTCCTACCTGGCTGTCCCTCAAAGCCGTCACTCCTACCTGGCTGTCCCTCAAAGCCGTCACCCCTCCCTGAAGGTAATTCTCTTCGTCATCACACACTCCTGCACCTTCAGCAGACAAGACAGACAGACAGACAGACAGACAGAAAGACAGATACACAGACAGAGACAGACAGACAGACACACAGACAGAGGAGACAGACAGACAGAAAGAAAGACACAGACAGACAGATACACAGACAGACAGACAGACAGAAAGACAGACACACACACAGACAGAAACAGACAGACAGACAGACGCGATCTATAGTAATAAACCTTTCACGTGTTAAGTTCTGGCGTTGGTGCATTCGTCTGGCGTTACTCGTCTGGCGTTGGTCCATCTGTCTGGCGTTAGTCCATTCGTCTGGCGTTAGTCCATTCGTCTGGCGTTAGTCCATTCGTCTGGCGTTGGTCCATTCGTCTGGCGTTGGCCCATTCGCGCTGGCCCATTCGTCTGGCGTTGGCCCATTCGCTGGCGTTAGTCCATTCGTCTGGCGTTAGTCCCGTCTGGCGTTGGCCCATTCGTCGGCGTTAGTCCATTGTCTGGCGTTAGTCCATTCGTCTGTTAGTCCATTCGTCTGGCGTTAGTCCATTCGTCTGGCGTTAGTCCATTCGTCTGGCGTTAGTCCATTCGTCTGGCGTTAGTCCATTCGTCTGGCGTTAGCCCATTCGTCTGGCGTTAGTCCATTCGTCTGGCGTTGGTGCATTCGTCTGGCGTTGGCCCATTCGTCTGGCGTTGGCCCATTCTTCTGGCGTTACCCTATCTGGCGACATTGGTCAAAATAAAATATCTACCACCTAGCACACCTGACACATAACACACCTAACATCTGACACACCTGACACCTGACACACCAGGACACCTAAAACACCTGACACACTAACACACCTGACACACACCTAAAACACCTGACACTTAACACACCTACACCTAAAACACCTGACACACTTAACACACCTGACACCCAAACACACCTGACACCTAACACACCTGACACCTAACACATCTAACACACCTGACACCTAACACACCTGACACACCTAACACACCTGACACCTAACACATCTAAGACACCTGACACATGACACATCTAACACACCTGACACCTGACACACCTGACACACCTGACACCTGAGAATGGCTGAGGTGTGTGGTGGAGGCCAATAGTTAGATCATAATGAATTAATCAAAGCCGATTAATTCAGCATTGATTCCGCTGTTAAATTAGCACAGGGTAATGAGGTGTACTGTCCTGGGGATTAAGATTAACTATGCGGTGATGACTGGTGATGACTGGTGATGATGGTGACTGGTGATGACTGGTGATGACTGGTGATGACTGGTTGGTGACTGGTGATGATGGTGATGATGGTGGTGACTGGTGATGATGGTGATGAGTGGTGACTGTGACTGGTGATGATGGTGACTGGTGGTGACTGGTGATGACTGGTGATGACTGGTGTGACTGGTGATGACTGGTGATGATGGTGATGACACTGGTGATGATGACTGTGACTGGTGATGACTGGTGGTGACTGGTGTTGATGGTGATGATGGTGATGACTGGTGGTGACTGGGATGGTGATGATGGTGATGACTGTGGTGACTGGTGATGACTGGTGGTGACTGGTGGTGACTGGTGGTGACTGGTGATGATGGGATGATGGTGATGGTGATGACTGGTTGACTGGTGATGACTGGTGGTGACTAGTGATGATGGTGGGGACTGGTGGTGACTGGTGGTGACTACTGATGACTAGTGATGCCTGTGATGACTGGTGATGACTGGTGGTGACTGGGGTGACTACTGCTGACTGGTATTGACTGATGGTGACTGATGACTGGTGATAACTGGTGATGACTGATGGTAACTGGTGATGACTGGTGATGACTGGGTGACTGGTGATGACTGGGGATGACTGGTGATGACTGGTGATGACTGGTGATGACTGGTGGTGACTGGTGATGACTGATGGTGACTGGTTATAACTCCACACGAGACAGGAATACCGAGGCAAAAAATAATAATATTTTTATTAAATTCCTCGCTTGAGATATTGCAGCAGCTTGTTGTTGTTATCCACCTAACTCAACCTAACCTGACCTGACCTGACCTAACCTGACCTGACCTAACCTAACCTAACTGACCTAACCTAACCCAAATGTCAACAAAGGTCAGCTGATGGTAAGAGTCAGCATCCCTTCTCTACAACGAGAGAGAGAGAGAGAGAGAGAGAGAGAGAGAGAGAGAGAGAGAGAGAGAGAGAGTCACAAACTTTGAAACCGAGACCAATTTTACACCTGTGACTGACATTGATTACCAGCCAGCTTGGTAACGTCACCTGTAATTTCTACCAAAAGCTATTCCACAAAACCAAAAAAAAAAAAAAAATACCAGATAATAATTTATTCCAAAAAATTATGAAACAAATATTATAGAAAAAATACCAATAATGCGTCAGTTTATTCTTAAAATTATTAACAAAATTTAAGTCAATTTGTCACTTTGAGGGTTTTAATTCCCAAAAAAAATCCTGACGTGGTTAAAATTTATTCTAAAAAACAAAACAAAATAAGAAATGGTGATTTTATGTCTGATGAAAAAGTATTTACAAACTGACAGGAAATAAAGCTGTCGGCAACTGGATCCTAATTTATTTCAAAAGGTAAAGAAAAAATAAACATCCAGGTAAAAAAAGATTAAAAAAAGACCGTAAAAACGAATAAATGTCATCATCACATTTTATAAATAAAACTATTAATATATAAACCGATAAAATAAACTTGTTGCCTCCATGATCAGTTAAACGAAAAAAAAAAAAAAATCGTATAAAAAATAAACTTGGTACTTATACAGTCTGTGATTTATTCCAATATCTATACAAAAAATGGCAGATTATATATCCATTTATTTTAAAAGATTTACTCTAAAATACAATATATAGTTTACTTTCTTAATTCTAAAATAAAAATAAATTACAAAAATATATAATATCGGATTTGTTCACGTGACTAAGTAATTTATTCCAGAATCCACAAAAGTGAGTAAAAAAAAGGCCAAAGATTAATTTCTAAGTGAATTTCGACATGATATCACGGCACATTATCTTAGACTCTACTGGTGTGTGTTTACGTCTGGGGGTTGACACGAGTACCACCAGAGGCGTTGCTATCGTGTTTGTGATCGCCGAATAGCTGGAGTGGATCATCTGGTACTAATACTACTATTACTATTACTACTACTAACACTACTACTGCTACTTCCACTCACAAGCACAACAGCAACAATTTCTACTACAACAACCACAACTTTACTATGGAAACTGTCCCGACATTCACAAGCCTACCTACGCCTTCCTTCTCCCTTCTCTTCCTCAATCATCCCCTCTTCCCTCCTCCACTTCTTCTTCCTCCTCTTACCCCCCCCTCTTCTCTTCTTCTCCTTCCTCCTCCTCTTCCACCTCCACAGTCCTGGGAACCTCTTCATTTATCCTTCCTGGCTTTCCACGGGTCTATTGGAAACACGAGAGGCGCTGAAAGTCTTAGTGCCTACAACACCGAGGTGCTGAGGATTACTTCCCTACCTCCTACCTCCTCCTACCTCGCCTACAGGCTTTTGTGTCTCCAAGGACCGCCAGGAGACCATCCCTTTAACTGTTCCCGTCTCCGGTCTCCAGGGTCTTTAAGAGATGATTTCTCTTCCCATCCAGGACTCACGGGCCAGACGAGACCATCCTCTTGACTGTCTCCCCGTCTCCTAGGATCTCCAGCTCTGTCTTATGCGTCTCCTTTTATGCCCTCTCCACCGTGTGTTTTAGCCTTCCCTAGGAGATTGTGTCTCTGTATCCATGGCCCCTAGGAGACGTAATACCACAGTATCTCCATAACCACTTTCTCCCCCCCCTCCTCCCTCCCAAGAAATTCCCCAGAACCCTTCCTTTCCCCCAGAAATTCCCCAGATCCCCCATAAAAGAGGACTGCCTCCCCCACACACACTATACAGCAACGGGAAAGGGTCAAGTGCCTACAGCGTTAATACATGTTTATTGGTCTCGATAAAACCTAACCTAATTTAAAACAAAACTGGGTTGGGTTAGGTTAGTAATTAGCCTGGGTTAGGTTGGGTTAGATTAGATTAGCCTGGGTTAGGTTAGGTTAGATTAGATTAGCCTGGGTTGGGTTAGGTTAGATTAGATTAGCCTGGGTTAGGTTAGGTTAGATTAGATTAGCCTGGGTTAAGTTAGGTTAGATTGGATTAGCCTGGGTTAGGTTGGGTTAGATTAGATTAGCCTGGGTTGAGTTAGGTTAGATTAGATTAGCCTGGGTTAGGTTAGGTTAGATTAGATTAGCCTGGGTTAGGTTAGGTTAGATTAGATTAGCCTGGGTTAGGTTGGATTAGATTAGCCTGGGTTAGGTTAGATTAGATTAGCCTGGGTTAGGTTAGGTTATTAGATTAATCATGCTAGGTTAGGTTAGGTTAGTTAGCCTGGGTTAGGTTAGGTTAGATTAGATTAGCCTGGGTTAGGTTAGGTTAGATTAGATTAGCCTGGGTTAGGTTAGGTTAGATTAGATCCACAGGTTGGGTTGGGTTAGATTAGATTAGCCTGGGTTAGGTTGGGTTAGATTAGATTAGCCTGGGTTAGGTTAGGTTAGATTAGATTATAGGTTGATGTCAGATCAATTCCGTTTTATTTCAGTTCTTAGAGAGAGACACGACACATTCTCTATAATATAAACATGTCTTCTCTCCTTGATCGACGACCATTTTTTAGTACATAGTAAAAGTGTCGTGTTGGGAGCCAGGAGCATAATAGGAGGCAAGGTCGTGTTAAGGCTGTCAGGAGAGGCAGTCGTGGTGTGGAAGTGGGGTCGTCGTGGTGGTGGAAGGGGTGGGGTCGTCGTGATGGTGGAAGGGTGGGGTCGTGGTGGTGGAAGGGGTGGGGGGGTCGTCGTGGTGGTGGAAGGGTGGGGTCGTCGTGGGTGGTGGAAGGGGTGGGGCGTCGTGATGGTGGAAGGGTGGGGGTCGTCGTG